AAAATTCTACCTTCTGATTCCAAAGAAACTGTCTAATCAGAATATCTGGACTCGTAAGTGTGCTAACCACTAACAGTAACCAGGCCTTCACCCAGTACAGCGGACTCACGTCCAGGTGAAATTCATCTCAAAGGAACAAAATGCCAAGTCTGTGAGAGTCATTAAAGTTCAAGAAGCACAGTGATGAATGAGTTAAGGTAACTTTGATTGTAATATTAAGTATTATCTTCAAGCAAACTTGAATCCTAGACCCTGATTAGGCCATCTATAGCAACAACTGTGTGATTTTAATATTGCACAGCTTTATTGCACCCCAGATATTAAAAATGTACGTGTACATATGTTGTGTTATTTCCTGATGAACGGACCAATACACTACATGTATGCACGTACATCATCACCGCGTGTACGCATTTGATATCAAGTTTGCTTGAAGATAAATTGGTTATAAATCCCACTTGCGCTCGTGGAACACGGAATTATGTAGTGCATCGAGTGGCATATGGGTCACAGCAGCATTGCATTATTTCATATTCCAATTGCGCTCGTGGGATAACTAATTATCAGTGGCACCCAGGAGGGGGGGGGGGGGCTTGAACCCATCCCCAACATTGTCAATTGTTTGTTTGATTTTAGGCTAGTTTTTGTTGGTCCAATCTTATACAGAAATTTGAACCCCAAAACGATTTATGACCCCCCCCCCCACCAAAAGCCAAATCCTGGGTGCGCCACTGCTGATAGGTAACCCTGTGAGTCTGGTTAGACCTCATCAGCCCTCAGAATAAGAAATTCACAAACCAAGATATATTTTAGTAACTTTTGAAACAGAATAGTAAGTTGTGTTGGTGAATTTCTTATGTAAAGTCTATAAATTGACTCATTTGTAACCTACTGTACAAAAATAGTCATAAAGTTGTAAATTTTGAAGACCCCAACTGATTTTTAGTAGATTCTGATAGAGGAAGACATGCTCTAGCAAGTTATTTTTATTTCGTTGATTTTCGGAATGATACATTATTAAAAAAAATGGGTCAAAGGTCACGATAGCATATTAAAGGTCATGTGACCTACTTTTCACAAAATTTAATTTTGACAAAAGAAGTGCTTTGAGCATGCAATCCTCATTATTTTAATACCAAATTCACATATATTCGATGAAACTTGCCATAGATTTGACATATTTATACCAAAAGGGTGGTATTTTACTCTAAAAATGCCAATTTTTTGTGGCTTCTGCCCTGACCACATGGTAGGTCGGATCGGGCTAAAAATTGGTGTGTATTCATTGCTCATTAGGACCTACAAGCACAGCAATTTTTATTAAAATCGGAAGACATGAGGTAAACAAGTGCGTTGGTCTGACATGGAATGACCCATATCTGAATCTGTATGGCTACGTTGCAGAAACCTATTCAGGCATTATCGCAACGGAGTACTGAGGTACTCAAGGCACTGGGAGTTATGTCTATAATTAGATGAATGAAGTACATGAGAGATATGAGACCCATTATGTGGCACCAGGGTTTACAAGGTGCTGCGGCCACTGCCAGAAACACCGGGGCGAACCCCTTCTCTTAGCGACAAGTGTTACTGGGTTCTTTAACGTGCATTACACAACACACGGGACCTACGGCTTTGCGTCCCATCCGAAGGACGAAGTGGTAAAGTGCCTTGCTCAAGAGCACAAGCACCATGTTCCCACGGTCAGGATTCGAACCCGTGTACCACAGCACACGAGTCGAACACTGTAACCATTGGACCACAGCACCCCACTAGATATATGGGTTTTACTCAAAAACTAGGAATTTCCAAGGTGGGTTGATTCGTCGCAAATGGAAGAGTTTTAGAAAAGGGATATTAATTCCAAATTTCAGCCAAGGAAACTAATTCTAGTTAAAATAAGAGCATTTTGAAACTTCACTTTCAAAATTGAACACTTTACTACACGAGAACAAAGAAATGTTTTCACAAGGATACAAATTTGAGAATGTGTGAGCGCGCATTGTTACGGCACTAAAGTGGAACGCGTGTTTAAGTGTAACTGGTCGCACTTTTGGAAAGATGTAAACTAAGTAGTTTTTATATTTTGAGTCAAGTATCCGCAGCGCGCGTACGTACATGTATACATATCATGCACTTTGTCATTTGTCATGTGCCCGTTTTCAATAAAAGACGTCGGACATAATGCAATAATGATTGCGATCATTCGACAATCAAAGCAAGTTTACTTCCAAGCTGGAATCAAACAATCATCCATCTTCACACGTTTATCGGGTAAAGTCCATGACCTTTAACTTCCCCTTTATTTACATTGTTGAGGTTGTTTAGGTTGTATTTCCATTCTTGCAATACGTTTACATTGCATGTCATCTCTGGGGCAATTTTCGGTTTTTTTCTTGAACAAGAGTTTAACCTTTCTAATTTGCAGTGAGCATGAATAATCAAGACTTATCACAGGGATACCGTACTTCAACATATAATTATTACAACTGTTTAGTTTTCAAAATAGTAGGAGAAAAAAACTATTTAAAGTAGAAATATTAGAACTGACGTTTAATTATAAATCTCCATGAAGGGAGAAGAGTAGAGGTGAATTAATTGTGTAAGAACATGGCAATGATAACGAACACACCTTTGACATGAATAAACACATACAGTCGTGTTTTACATAGCTCCCGAGGACAAGCCATTGTATTTTCCTTTGTCCCTGTAGTATAAAACTCTCAGATAGACTAAGCACATGAACGCACGATCGAAGACAGTTTTCAACAAAAGATGAAAGATCGAGGTCAACGAAATCTGTTGCTTCTCCCCTTGTCCGTCGGTCCTCAGTGTGTGTGTGTGTGTGTAGTGTACGCCGACAAGACTTACAAATATGTATAGCTTCGCTCAGTTTCAGATTTATAAAACTCCATCAGCATGGGAGGGGGGTTGACAGTGGCAAATCAAAATTAAGCGATGTTCAACACAACCTAAATTTCCCCATTCAAATGCACGGCGGGCGGGAAAATTATTTTTAACGTGACGAAGGTAACTTGACTTTATTCTTTCCAAAAATAAGATGACATGGAAGAATAAAAGAGATTTCTTCTTTCTGACAGGTAAAAGCCAGTCAGTCAGTTAGTCAGCAAGGAAGGTACAAAGAGGACCTTTGTGTACCGACCCAACTGCTCGTGGACCCTGAGCAATAGTCTACAATTTTCTCCCCTCGTTGTTTAGTGTGACATTTAAACGGAGAGAAGACTAGAAATTACAGAAAATGTATCTTATTCAAACCCAGGTGATGACCCCATCTTCAAGGAACCATTTTACGTCACACCCGGCAACCTAGTCTACTTGCAGATGGGCCAGACTTATCACATGCCATGCCCGATCCGTAGAGAAGGCGAGAAGGTCAGCGTCTTCTTGTGGTATCAAGGAAAAGACATCGTTGCCCGATATACGATTGTAGCGGGGGATACGAACTTCACCCAGAGTGATCGCTTTGAATTGTCTGGCACGTATGGTCTGATAGTCAGGCAAGTTGAACAGGATGACGGCGGAACGTACACTTGTTTGGTCATACCATATGGCAGCTCCAAAAGACGACAGAGCCTTATCGATGTCACTGTATTAGGTAAGATTTAGGCCTATTGGTGAATTGCTTCCGACGTCATGCACGACCCAGCATATGGCGTTTGCAAAAGTCTTAGAGAGCGAGGATATTATTCGTCCCTTTTTTTTTGGAATTTCCGTTCCTCCTTAATCCCCAAAATGATAATATTGAAGCCCGCACCCTAATCATATTTAATTTTTTTTTTTGGGGGGGGGGGTTGGCTCGAGTCCACAGATTAAACACGTTAAAGATCCTCCGTGGAACCAGCTGATTAACATTTCCACCCCTGTATTTTTGTTTAGTCTCTATAACGCAATATAAGGCCGTGAAAATTTCTTCATCATGGTCCTAGTCATTGACCAGATTTATTTTTCCACATTATGATTTGTGTACAAACGAGTTAGCTGGCCTGTAGGTGCAGCTGCATGTCTCTACGTGTAGTATCCTACATTCACATGCTCCAGCATTGGTCATAAGTTTACTGTATGAATTATTCAGGAACATATTAGAACGATCATCATTTGCAGATATTTTCAAATTGATTAAACACATAACGAGAAATACGGTAGCAGCCGAGGATTTTACTATGACAACTTTGTTCAAATCCTTTTCTTCAGATAAACAGTTTCCCGTCGTTGATGACGCTGTGGCGACAAGGCAAGAACAGAATCTCACCCGCGGAGAACGACACGAACTTCCATGCCCCGCTGGACTACCAGGAAATGGAAACCGCCGGGCCACAGTCTACTGGTGTTTAGACACCGGCGAGTCTGATTTTACGAGTATTATCGGAGCCAGGTTCTCAGACGAAGAAACCAAAGTTTACCTTGAGGAATACAACATCACCGTCGATAGTTCCTTGGTTATCAACTCTCCGAAAAGCAAATACAGTCGTTTCTGGTGTCATCGCTCTGTGTCAGGATCACCACTAAAATCTGGGTATATCGATGTCAGCGTAAAAGGTACACCATTTTGGGGGTGGTTGATAAAGGGAAAAGAGCAGTTGGGAATCAATTTTGTGTGGCTAGTTACAATTTCTTTGGAGGTTTTGATAATAAAAGATGTGCTCTCTGTGTCAAGATTAATATGTGTATATCGATGTCAACGGAAAAGGTGACAGGCCTACCTTTTGGGGTGGTTGATAGGGAAAAGAGCAAACGGGAATCTATTTTTGGGGGCTAGCTATATGAGGAGGTTTTCGATAATGATGTTGTGTCTTGTTTTGTCTAAAGTTGACTTTTTATTCCTGTTATCTTGTACCAGATCCGAGACCAGGCGAGATGCCCATGGTAACTACTCATGAGCCCGGACATGTTGGGAATGTGAAGCTCAGTGTGATACATGTACTAGTTTTAATATTCGGTCTGTTGTCAGCAATTGCATGCTTAGTTGCGATTGTTCTATGGAGGAGCAGGACCCTTTTCCACGAACGCTCTGGTACATTTCCTGAACCTGAGGATCAGATACAACAGAACCGGCAAGGTGGGTATCCCTGACATTCATGGTGAACTGCAAACAATGACAATTATTCTGAACAGTTCATAGCTGTTGTTTTGGGCCATGATGTGGTTTTAAAATAGCCCCTATAGGAGAACTCAAGATCACAAATTGTCTCATGTTCACTCTAAAAGTCCCTGATCAGCTTTGACCTCATACTTTCAGGTTCAAAATTACAATTTACAGGTCAAAATAACACTGTTCTGGATAATTATAGGTATAATTTTAAACCAGAAAATGTCATTTAGATCAAATAGAACCCAGGTTCCGGGTGCAATTATGACCTTGCTATTTTTAGAGTGTTGTTTGGATGAGCCCTTATTGACGCATGATTTTGCGTGAAGGATGGTTCAACTTATACCCTTAATACCAGTGGTACATGCATGCAATTAGAACTATGGATCCATGTTTCAGAAACAAGTGTTGAACTGATTGCAAGTGAGGAACACCAAGATGAAACCAGGATGGCGACTGCAGGTATCTGGTTCTTTTTCCGATTCTAAAGGTTGTCTTTACTGAAATATCAGGGGGGGGGGTAGATGTTTTCCTCTGTAGTTGTACGTGATTGTCGAACAATTCAAAGAACGCAATGGTATAGATGCAAGTGTTATTTGTACATAGACTGACTTATGTCGTTTTTTTTTTTACTTCTTCGATCGAAATTTTTTTCAGCTAACTTGTTTTTCATTTTATTTAGATGAGGGTTGTCACGAATCGACACCTTTGACTGAAGCCACTGGAACTGATACAGCAGGAGATTCTGGTGAGACTTTCTATAAAATTAGGCCCTAGTACCACACGGAAATCAAGTAAAAAGTATACAACTGTGTTCCATTTTGCACAAATAGGCTGTATTGCAGCAGTGCCAATTCACAAGTCCAGTCACAAGTAAATAATTCCTTTCACACGTCCAATCTCACATGTACTATGTACATCAGATTTGAACTGGCCAACCGATCCCGTTAGCTCGGTGGTCGAGTGGTAAGACATCTGCACTAGAAAGCAGGAGGTCGTGGGTTCGAGTCCCACCCGAGTGATTTTTTCCAACTTTCACTCGGGACGTAACACACTGAGTATACAGTGTTTAAAAACGTCGATGAAGGGCAAAACCTAATTTGAACATTAACAAAGGAACTTGCAAATAATTGTCGCCGTACATTTGAAAAGCTTGTGAGTTGAGTTGGAAATGCATGACTCGTGGGGACTTGTAGGGATTTGTGATGGGCTCGAATATGGCACTGCAAACGGGTAAGGCATAACATAAGATTATTCAACAATAAGTGTTTGATATTGGAATGAAATAATCCTGTGAACGACACAGAGTACTGATATAAATTTGATTAAAACTACGTAAATTGAGATCCGGGGTCTCCACTGATATTATGCAAGGGAAACGTAATTAGGCCTACTGGTATAACATTCACAATGAATAAATAAATTCGCCAGTGACTTCGATTGAAATCTGTTCCACAGTGGAAGTGTAATGCTTGTTCGTCTTTTGAACTTCAAATATGATACTTATACATGAAAAGATTGTTGATCAGTAAGTATTTATGCCACCAACAGGTAATGCAGTTAATATTTTCCCTGCAAAATATGCCGTTTTTCAGTTTTGCTTACAAACTTTTTTTTCGTCAGATCTGCATGACGACAAATCGTCATGGTTGACTGCAGACACTGCAGCTAAAACGCGCCATACAACAAGAGATTGTGGTAAGAGAGACCAGGAATTGAAATAAGTTTTACATTGAAAATGAAGCGAAGAAACGTAAGGGCATATTGAAATAACTTGGCGATGTGGTATTTAAATTCAGTAATCATTGAATCTGTCAGATCCGAAAGAAGACTAATCGTCACCATGCAGGTACTGCAGCAAATACGCCTAAATACAATAGGCCTACAGAGTTTTGGTGAAAGAGAAGTATAATTTATATCCGCGTTTAACTTTTGAAGGTGTATAACAGAGGGTTCGGCGATTTGGTATTTTAATGGAACAAACTTGACAAAAACTAAATTGAATTAATGTAATTAATGCACTAAAATGCGAAAATGGGCTGCCTACAATCTTGGGCAAATTCTTCCAAATTGTAGGTAATTATTTTATCTGAAATAATAAGGTACATTCATACTAATGTTGGGCAAATATCACCGCCAACAAAGTTTTACCAATTTTTTTTTTTTTTTTAAGTGTAAAATTGAAGTAATATTTTATTGATACATCAATCAGGAGAATCTTCTTCGTCAAGGACCAACGCGGGCGTATATACTATATACATCCAAAGCAGTTCCGATTCCATCACAAGTACCGACAGAATTATGAGAAGGCTGAAATCACCACATAAAGGTTTTACCTCGTCACAAAAACCTGTTAAAGTGACATCCAAGAAACCATCATATGCGGCACGGAGATCCGTGCCCAAACCCAAACGTTATTCACCACTGAAGAAATCTAGCCATCGTGAAGCTGGTAAAAGAAAGTTTCTTTTCTTCTGTTGTTGAAATAGTTTTTCTGAGACGATTCAGCAAAATGTAAAACATGAAATGCCTTTCCCACTATCATACTGTGTTGTGTTTTGTTGCACATGCAGGTGAAACACAGTCTGTGTTGCAAAAGGCCTCTACTCCTGAGTGTGCAAAATCAGAACTAGAGAAAGTTCCTCTTGTAGAAATTGTGCAGCCGAAAGATGAAATACCTTCTAAGAGTGGTGGACAACAGCAAGACAAAGTACTGGGGGACGAGGGAAACAACAAGGATGACCAAGGTTATAAGCTCATCTTCTTTTATTTATTCCTTATATAGACTAGACAAGGCTAGGCTAGTAAAACTGGTACAAGAGCTTACACAATTCTTTTCAATTGATTCAGAAGTCTGCATCTGGTCTACACAATAGGCCGGAGTTAGCCTATTCATTGGTGCTATTGTATTGGTAATCCAATACGATAGCATTGCCCGGCTTACAAGGTCAGTCAATGAGCCAGTCAGTCAATGAGACAGTCAGACATTTACAAAGATGGTCCTCTGAACTCTTTTTTTTTGTTTTGTTTTTAATTTTGTTTTTACTGCCAAATATTAAATAAGTTTCAGGGTAGCTGCATGTATATCTGGCAGGCAGAATAAAAGGAGTAGATTGTAGCATTTTATTGAGTAATTACATGTACAAAAGTAAAAACAAATGACAATGCTGGTTCTTGAGCCAGAATCCTCTGGGCTTATCCTTTTGATATTATTTGAGCGCCATAAACTTAAGATAATTGTTAAGCATAGGTAAATCATATAATGCTAATTAAGTGATGAATGAATGTTACGGACACGTTGGTATTGTGAATTCTTAAAACATTACAATGAGCTTGATCACGTTCACGGACGCAGGTTGGTTGGAGGGGCAGCAAGCGCTTCAAGACAGCAAGACTGGTTGTCCCAGTCAGACATCAGTGGTCGAAGAGGAGACACCTCAGACAGCATCAGCACCTGAACAAGCACCGACCGAGATTGCTGAAACAGGAACCAAGACGATTGGAACGAAAGACCAAATGAAAATTTCTGATGAGAAGGAAGGTAATTTTCAAGGCCAATTAACAACATAAGGAAGATTTGCACAATATAATGGAATGGAGCCATGCTTGCATGCTGCGGATGTTACAAATATAAGTTTTGTTTTTCTTTTCAGGTGTGAAGACAGCCAAACCTGATGTGAGTACAACCGATAGACCAAAGCTGTCATCCAACCCAACTCAAGACCAAACCAAAGCAGGAAAAGTTGAAAATGACAAAAGTGAAGGAGACAATAATTTGTCACCAGGCCATCAGAAGAGCAAAAAGGGTAAGCTTAAAAAGTACAAGAAGAAAGCAAAGTGGAAAGAAAGGCTGAGAGTGGAACCGAAAGGGAAAACAAAGTCTCCAGTTAAAGTTCGTCTCACATCTGAAGATGAGAAGACAACGAATGACAAGACTGGTTCTCGGTTAGAATCACAGCTGCAACCGGGAGACAAAGAAGAGCAGGAAAAGGAAAGAGACGAACATCGTTTAACACGAGAAAAAGGTGAATAACAAAATATTCCAATTTGTTTTGGAACCACCGTTTCGTAATTTAGCTAGAAACATCCTTAAAAAAATATATTTTGAAGTCCTGGCAATCTAGTCTAAACTAAGGCGCTTACGGGCGCTTCAAGCATTGATGAGTTTGAATATTTGTTGTTGGAAAACTAGCCGTGATAGATGTATAGTCGACTTCATATTTATTTTGAGGCTTAATTGCACGAGATAATTTGCTTGAACTCTTTCCGTTCCCAGATCCAGAACAAACATCAAATCAGCAAGTCGCGATATGTGGATCTAAAGGCATCGCATCCGTTGTCGAATCGAGTCCAACGAACCCAGACCGCCTACTCCGATCTGTACCAGAACTAATTGATGACAATTTGAACGCATTGTCCGGCGAAAAAATGTCGAAAACAATACCAGTTGCAAAGAAAAAGAGAGAACGGAAATCCCCATGCTTAACGTTTGAGCAAAATGCGAAGCGGCAGAAATCCTCGGAACCCCCTTCTTGCGAACAGATGAATCTTACAGCCCCTGCAAACAAGGCAATTGAACGAGGTAGGGGGTACTGCAGTGCTTTTTGAACTACCCAAGTGTCACTATTTCTTTTCTTTCAGTTGTACATAAGAAACCTTGCATCACGATTTTGTTTTTGGAAAATGAATTGTGTGGTTACTAATAAAAATTGTGTGGTTACTAATAAAAATGTCACCTTATGAAAGTCATCAAGTCAATTCAATTCAACATCTGTCAGTCGTATTTTGGTGTTGAAAACCAGGAGGAGAGCGGAGTGTTTATCAAAACTAAGATTTTTTTCATTACCGCTTCTGATGTTGCTCATTTGATAAAGTGTAATCTTTGTCCCTCTTAATTCTTTCTTTTGCAGGTAGTGACGCAACGATGTCTCTTGTCGATTACCCACCCGTTTCTGATCCCGATGTAGCTCCTACCCTACCAAACTACTATCCAAATCCCACACAGCCCATTGCCCCTGTGAAACCTTTTACATGCAATGATCCTGCATCACCACATTTCTCTACAGGGGCTGCTGCTGCCTCTGTCCCCCAAACAATGCCGTATAATGATGGTACATTTGAACCCATGGGCCACATTGGTACTCCCGAAGATACGCCATTTTTTACACAAACTGCATGTGATAACTATGGTCCCTCTGATATTCCATTATCGACCAATAATTGGGAAGATCCACATTCCACAGCAGGCAATCCTGAAGTACCCGTGCCCTCAAAGAACCCAATTTCAAGCGATGATGAGTCAATGGGTTCGAAGAGTGACATCGAGAATGAAGAGATAGAAGATCCTATAGAGCATCAAGCAGTGAAAGAAATTGGTGAGATATATCAAAATATTAATGTAATAACACTGGGAAAAACAGCATTGTATTTGTTAAATCCCATCTCTTCCTGGTGGTCACACTCTGGGCATTAACATTTGGTGGAAGCAGTTTCTGCTGTAGATCTGAACTTAAAATGTTCACATTTACCCTAGTACGAGAAAGTTGCAGGTGATGTAAAAAGCGTGCACATTTTTTTTTCAGGGATACGTCTGTACGATAGGCCAGATAATAGTGATTTCAACAACGAAATGTTACCCTGTTTTAGTAGTGTTGGGGTTAGGATCTGCATTGGGCGGTATATACCTTCTGTGTTGTGTGGCATTTATGTCTGAAACTTTCAGAAAAGAAAGGAGTGAGTGAGTAGTGACTGAGAGAATAATTGTATCTTTGGCCGTATCATTTTTTTAGAAGATGAAATGGAGGTACAATCGACAGGTGAAGAAAAAGACAGCAAAGTAAAACCGAAGAAGCCACGTTTATCACAAACGCGACAAATTGTAAGAAATCAGAATCCGCACAAACAAGGTATGTTGCACTAAATAGAAAACATAGATTTCTAGCTCACAAAACGGTCGAGTCCGGGGAAACAAAATTAATTGCGTTGGAGCTTTTGGCCATAACTAAAAACTAAGTGGACCTAAACATTATTCTATCCTTAGACCGTATATACCTGATTGTTTTTAAACATAATTATGCAAACTTAAAATTGTGTTTTAAATTGAGAGAATAGAAAATTATGACTTTCCAAAATAATGGTAAACTTGTGTTTTCATTCTTCCGAAGATTACCGTCGCATGAAGCGGTATCCGAACCTCAAACGGTAGACTAGTAATCAACTGCAGCTGGTTCGGGTTCTTTTGTACTTGTTAGGGGAAAACTATGCTGGATTAAGAAAAAGTGATAACCTAATCTTGTAAATTACTACGATCATAATACGAAATATTAGCCTTAATATTGTATTGTCGAGATTTGTTTAATGTTGTGTTGTATGAATGATATCTACATGTATACATATATTTGTTGGTTCGTATTATATTCGGGGCAAAGGACGACCAGGGCGCACGCCGCAGTATCACATGCTGTTTGTGTTCCATTTGGAGAAAAATAGGCCCTACTTTAAAATATACAAAAATAGTGAAAGCTCCAGGGAAGAGGCGATTGGGGTTGGAGGGGGATGGTCATCAGTAGATCAGTAGAAATACTTTGAAAGAAATCGGAATGGAATGGAAGCTCAAGTAAAAATTCGATGTATTAGATCGAATGAATCCCACTCTAAATCGTCATGTGCAGTCTTTTGTCGATTGGAGCAAAATTCAATCAAAATAAGGGAATTGTCCCAATTTTGGAAACAGAAGCTAAAGAGGAAACAGAGTTTTGTTTTGAATTGTTGCCAGTTAATGTTAACGTAGCCCATCTCTTCTCCGCTGCTTTAATAAAGCCCGCCGCACACGAGAGTTACGTGCTGAGCAAAATGTCATTCGAGGCCGTTTGCTCAGCATGTAGCTCACAAAATATCCCCGCGTGCGGTGAATTTCTGCTGAGTTTCCTGCCTCGTGAGGCCGTGAGGCAAATATCAGCCCTGCTTGATCGCATCGCGAGGCGAAAAACTGGCTGGTTAATATTTTTAGCTCAGCGCGTAGCTCAGCAAAAAAAAAAAAAATCACCGCACACGGGGATATTGTGTAAGCTACGTGCTGAGCACGTAACGTAGCTCTCGTGTGCGGCGGGGTTAACGGTAATGGGTCCTCGGAGTTAACAATTGCAAAATACTGCAACTTAAAACTTTCACGAACGGTCATGCAAGTCTGTTATTATTTTATGAGTAATCAGGGGCGTCGCGAGGGGGGGGGACCCCCCCCCCCGGAAAAAAAGAAAGAAAAGAGGCGCGAAGTCATATTGCTGTTCATTCATATGGGTCGGGGGGGGGCAAATGTCCCTGCCCACCCTCGAAAAGTGAGAAATCGAGATGTACAGGGATTTGGGGGTGGGCGAAATGAGTTTGGTCCCCTCTAAAAATAATTCCTGGCGACGCCCATGTGACTCATGGAATGTGGATGTTCCAAGTAATAGTCATGGAAAATATCATTGAATTGTGCACAGCCTATGATGATGATGATGCGTATTCGGGTATGGCAGTCTGATAGGCCTTGACATATGCCTTTACTTTATAGGCCTATTGTATAGGCCTATATTATTTCTAGTTTATTAACCTGTATTATTTCCTCTTTGTGCATATCACGTACTTTGCTCCGTACAATGTATCAATGTTTTGTTTGTGGTGTTCAGTGGCCATATGCGCCAGACTATCATTATTTTACCGTGAAAAAAAAAATCGAAAAGCTGGGGGGTGGGGGGGGGGGGGCTTGGCTTGCGAGGGAGAATCTTGGGGGGGGGGGGTGATGCCCCGTATAGCCGGGGGACAGAAAGGGTGTGGTGTCCCTTGCCTCAGAGTGATGGCTTACCGGAGTATGTTCCTATGTTTCAGATGCCAAGACTGATAGGGGATTGGTAATTGAAAGCCCTGATTTTGTCGTGGAATTTCATTATTTCATTCAAATTTTTGTTGGGAACCCTGATTTCATTCCGAATTCAGTTCTCAGTCGATCTTAATGATGTCCACTCGGTGTATTCAGCATACATGTTTGTTGTAATTGAGAAAGGAGAACTATAACTATATGAAATGGATTACAGGTGCTAGTAAATAATCGACGCTGGAGGGTTTTCAGCCTGCATGCACCGCCCCTTAACCTGAACTTTTAACTTAACTTTTAAACATATAAGCATGATGTAAAAACAAAACACATGTAAAATGTAGCATGATGTACATAGTAAAAGCCCATGTTTTGCTTTCGTAAGCTGTATATTGTTTAATGATACGAGCCATGAAAGTATAACGCTTTTCTGAACCAGCCTGGAATTAAGTCCAATCACATTCTATGTTTTAGATTGTCCCAGCTACATAGTAAACATGCTGGAGGTCACGCAGTAGAAGATCCTAGTATGGATCAGGATAGGTCCTTCAGTGTCACTTGACAGGCCTCAGGTGCTTGCTCAGAATTGCGGTGAAAGGATTACACAAACTTGTGCACAATCTAAAACCCATATTGCTGTGAGGTCAGCCTGGAATCAAGACTACTCACATTTCTATGTTTTATATTGTCCCAGCTACATGGTTAACATGCCGGAGGTCATATATCAGCATCTATTCATTGATGCATGGACAAAAAAAAAAAAATCTTGAGATGTGTGGCTCATGTTTGGGCTTTTTTTGGGATGAAAAATTGTTTGGGAATAAACAAATATCCCGGTAAATTACATTACGTGTGGTTTGAAAATCATGCACGCAATGGCATGTTATAGTTGAAATTTGGATGATGGCTCAGAAAAGGGGGAACGGATTATTTAATTCGTAGATTTGTATATTGTATTGAAGTTAATACAGTTCTAGTCGCAAAGTACACTGTAAAAACTGTGTGTAGAGTTCTAACACTTTTTTACCCACTTTATTAAGATTTATGGATGTGTGACGAATGAAAGCCCACTAGTACCATGAAGTATAAATTGTGAAAAGTAAATATAAATGATTTATCGGGTTGATGTCACTGTCAGGCTTCCATACTGTACACAGCCATAAACATGTGTCTGACTAGACGTGAAAAAACTAAAGGGTATCCGAAGTTTTTAAAGTCTGAGCACCATTTTTTTCAGTGTCGTTTTAGTGCTGTCATCGGTTAAGTCGAATTAGCAAACCATGCAGCTGATTTAATTATTGATGTTGATTTACTGCTTTATCTAGTTGGTTCAAGTTATGTATAATTGGAGATTTGGTTAAATCCTTGTTTTTGGACTAATTTGTAAAATTTAATTTTCTCTTTGTGTATATGTATCGTACTTTTTAAATGATCATTCTAATTACTATACGCATGTTTTAATAACCAATCGGTTTTTAATGTATTTTCCTGCAATTTGCATTGTTTTTGTGTTTTAATCCAGGACCCCCAGATGGGGCTTCGCCGTGAAACGAGAAAGAAAATTAAAACAACACTTCTTAATTATCAAACATTTATATAATTAATAATAAATTATCATTACACTTCAAGAATTCACTTTGGCCCCGAGTTGACTTTTCTTAGTCCGTTCCTTTTGTCAAACTAATACGCCAAGGCAAGTCTAGTAAAGCGGGTTGCCTACACAGTAGACCCGATGTAGCCCATTCGTTGGCGTATAATACACGGCAATCCTATTTCAACCTTTTGGGCCAAGGCGAGACTGAAGCAACTAAGTGAAAATCAGTAAGTCGGATTAAAAAAAAGAAAGACCTTGAACAATAAAGCATCTCATGACAGGACAGGGCAGGTAGCAATCAAAAATCGTCTAAAACCAAACCCTCATTAATATGTAGGGCCTACATTTGAAAGAGAAAGTGACGTTCCGAAGAACAAACAAACAAACAAACAAACAAACAAACAAACACCCCAACGGACAAAAAAAGCAACAAACAACTCAAGCAAGTGTATGAAATGCCAACGCGGAAATGTTTTCAATTATTTGTGTTTTCTTTTTCTGAGAGTTATAACTCTCATTATGAAAGTAAAACTAGAAGCTAGGCCTGCATGCACAAACTGCCGTTCTGCAAACGGGAAAGCCATACCCTCAGAGATGTCATATTTTATTTCGAGCTGACATGGCACATCTTGTTCTTAAATGCGCTGTTTCCATTTTTCAAAACTATTAGTGGTTCCTCTTGGATTGCTAGGTTGTTAAAATGGTTACAGCCCGATAGTCCGAAGGTTCGATAGTCCGAATGGTCTTTGGTCCGAAGGGTCATCAGTCCGAAGGTTCGTTAGTCCGAAGGTTCAATAGTCCGAAGGTTCGATAATCCGAAGGTTCGATAATCTGAAGGGCCCATTAGTTCGAAAATAGAATAAGGTTCATTAATCCGAAGGTTATATAGTCCGAATAAACGATAGGGTTCGATAGTCCAAATCGACAAT